GTTCCGGCCTGGACGGCCCCCATGTGTAACTTTGCCGCGCAGCTCTCTTACCAGACAACTTCTGGGAGCAGCTCCTACACCGTCAACCTGCCTCTAATGCAGCAGCTGCTGTTTTTGTCCGGCCCTCTCAGGACCAGCGCTCTCCCGCTCTCCGCGCGGCAGACGCAGCGGCGAGCACCCCTCGCCGGCGCCGGCGCCGCTCGCACTATGTACGTGGGCGAGATGGGGCCGAGCGGCCGCGCCGGGGTCGACCATTTCGGCCCATGCGAACCCGTATAGGATCATGATATGAATATAGGGAGGCCGAATGGTCCATATTGGACGCCGACCGGTGCCTTTGGCGGCTGAATGGGCACTGACCCTGACTCCATGTATGTCGCAGAAGTGGCCCGACCACTTTGGCAGACGACTCTTATGGCTGCCACCCACCCGGCAGCAGTCCGACCTGGGATGACGGCGCTGAGGCGCAGGCGATGGCGGCTCGAATATCAGAGGAGTGCACGCGGAGCTCAACTTCGCGTCTTTTTAGTAAACCTTCCGTAAATCAGACTTAGCAGCCGTCAAACGCTGGGCTTGTTACTACACTATGTGGTCAAGTCTAAGGATGCATTCGTCCAGCATACTGCATAGACAAGGAACACGAGCATTTTATATGTTGTAACAGATACCTCACGTGTAACTGTGAAGATATGACACGGTGAGTACTCCAGCGCAAGCCTGCCGCTATCGAATGGGTATATTTTTGTCTAATCAATGATATCCGTTCCCCATTCGGTGTAGTCCACCAAACTGTTCAGCCTGCGAATCAATAGGTGCACCGGTGCTTGCATTAAAAAGAAAACGAATTCAAAAACCAGGAGACTGATTTATTGAATGTGGGCTTTGCAAAGTGCAGCCGAGAACGGTCTCCTATTTTTCGCCTTTGTTTGCAGCGGCATCAAGTGACATTATCGCCTGCGGAACAGCCGGCCCCGTCAGCTACCGACTGCCGTCCGAATCAATAGGCAGGACCAACGAGGATACGCTCCTGTGCAAGAGAGAGAGAGAGAGAGAGAGAGAGAGAGAGAGAGAGAGAGAGAGAGAGAGAGAGAGAGAGAGAGAGAGAGAGAGAGAGAGAGAGAGAGAGAGAGAGAGAGAGAGAGAGAAAGAAAGTGAGTAGGAGAGAGATAGAAAGAGAGGGGGGAAGATAGAGAGATAAGAGGAAGGGAAGAGAGAGATATAGAAAAAGAAAGAGATTGGGAGAGTGAGAGCTAGAGAGAGAGGTAGACAAAGAGAGGGAGACAGAGGGAGACAGAGAAAGAGGGAGATAAGAGAGAGAAAGAAAGGAGGGAGCGAAAGGGTGGGAGAGAAAGAGGGAGAGAGCGGGAAAGAGAGGGATGTGTGAGAGAGAGAGAGAGAGAGAGAGAGAGAGAGAGAGAGAGAGAGAAGCAGACAGACAGAGGGATAAAGAAAGAGAGAGGGGGACAGAGAGGGAGAGAGAGGAACGCATCCAGCGAGACAGAGTGTCGACATGACAACTCTTACGGAGAAGCTGCCCGCGGAGAGGGAAACTGGACAGCCGACATCCGGGATCACGTAGCCAAAAATACCACAGCTCGGTGAAAATGTGTAAATGTCATGTGTTAAACGACTATGTCACATGTAACGCGTTGATAAACGGTCCAGTTCCCCACCCAGGACCTCACGTATGCGTTGCGTATCTCACCAGCCATACCTCACGCAGTATACCACTGCCGGGTCCGCGGCGTGCTGGCTGGCCCTTATCGGTCACCGCGCGGCGGCCCGTGCTGATCAGGGCGGCGATTGGTGCAGCGCGGGCCGCCGGGCTCCGCTCTGAGCCCGCGCCGTCTCCTGTGACGGGAATAAACTGGCCCGCTCGCCGGCAAACAGCGCTGGCGATAACCTCCGGTCCGAACAGGCCGTGCCGAATCGGTCAACCACGATAACCTTTGTCCGCTAAAGGCTACGTCGATGAGCCTGTATTGGTCAATCAATCTTCAGCGCTGTGCTCTGGGGACAGGAGTTTCTCGGCTTTTGTCTTGGGAACGATTCCTTTGAAATACACCAGACTGCATATTTAGGGTATCGATTTCCAACTACAGATGATTGCCCCGATTTTGTTGGTGGGGCATCAGGAGGGTATATTACCTCTTCGAACGCGATGGGGAGGGAGGAGGGCAAGACAGGTGTTGTGTTGCGTGAATGCGATGTCGTTCGTAATGATAACTGGGAGAATGTTCGTGACAGCGCTCGTTACAGTGATCACGACAGCGTTTGTGGCAGTAATTGCGACAACACATGTGATAATTAATATGGCAGCCTGTTCATCGGTATGATTTCGCCAGAAATAGCAACAGTGACAAGATTGAAAGAGGTAAAACAGTGACGGCGGCAGTCGAAAGTACAGTGATTGGCAGTGACGGAGCAGTAACAGAGCAGTGATCGTGGCAGTGACGTCACGGAGCCGAGCAGTGAGCATTCATTGATCGCGGCACACGATCTGGCCGCGTCTCACTCCGTGCAATCGGTTGATGGCTCCATTCGGCGGTACCTAGGACCGTCACGGCTGCACTCCGGCGTGCTCCGACTGCGGCCGAGCACGGGGGCGGCCACCGCACTCTGCCCTGTTAGGTAATTCATCACATCTGGACAGGTAATTTCAGGTGGCAGACATCGCCGGCCCAGATCCACGCGGTCTATTTCCACCGGCCGGCGGCAGGGGCGACCGCTGTGTCGGACAGAGAGGCGGGTCACAGGTCATGGCAACGGTCACAGGCCAGTGCATTGGTCACAGCAGGTCAGAGCGGCTGTGGTTAGAGACGGCTGAGCCACAGGTCACAGGACGGAGCAGCGGTCATAGGTCTGGGCAGCGGTCACGGGCCGGGGCTGCGGTCACAGACGGTCCAGCCACATGGGTCACAGGTCAGCACAGCGGTCACAGGTCGGCACAAGGGGTCACAGGTCTGGGCAGCAGTCACAGGTCGGCGCAGCCACAGGCCATAGGGGGGCAAACGGTGGCAGATAAAAAGCGTTCTGCTTGCGCATACGCCTAGGTGTATTGCGATATGGACTTTTTAATCGAGAGTTATGAACTTAACTAACAGTGGCATTTGTGGTTGTTCTTCCTACCACATTATCCCTCGCGGGCCCGAGGAGGGGCGTTTTTCGCCCCCCCCCCCTGGCGAATATTTGCGATAGCTCCCGAACGCTTAGAAATAGGAAAGCGAAACTTTCAGTACCTTTTCTCCCATCAATTTGACATCTTCTGAAATAAAAAATTTGGACCTAGCCCTCTTGATGACGTCACAAGGTCGATTTCTCTAGACCCCTGCACGGCAAACTTCGGCGTCACGGACGCGAACTTCACATAGCTGCTAAAAACAGAGTTTTAGAGATAAAGACAAATTACGAGCACGGTTGTGTAGCGTTTGACCTAGAGAAAAATATAAAAATAGTTTTGGTGACCTGAGGTCAGATGTCAGGTCAACGACCCCGAAATGTGGTTTTAGTTTTTTCGCAAATAACTTCGACAAAAATGGTCCTGGAGCTACGGCAGTGGTACCATCGCATTCGCCTTGTCAAGCCGCGTCGAATGATATATATTTTGTTTGGAAAAGGTCAAATTTTATGTTGACCTCATGTGACCTCGAATGACCTCTGGTTGACCTTGACACATGAAAGGTCGTTTATGATGGATTTGTACCACCCGCTGATCACGAATCTGGCATTTATTTTCCTCTAAGCCCAGCCAGCAATTCGGTTGGGGAAAGTGCGGGGACAGTGTTGGGGAAAGCTTGGGGAGAATGTACAATTCCCCTATCGGATCGGGGGACGGTCCGTGTTCCCCATCCCTTCCCCGACTGTATCGGTAATATGTTCAAAAGACATGGGGAAATCATACCGATCCCCGTACGGGGAAAGTGCAGCATTCCCCAATCAAACCCCACTGTTGGGGTTCGGTCCGGTAAAAGATCAGATTCCCCGTACGGGGAAGGGTGCGTTATCCCCGACCCATTTTCAAGAACAGTTTGATTGGGGAAAGTAGGGGAACTGTTGAAATTCCCCGCTCGGGATTTTACACTTAATCCCCAGACGAATCCCAACCGCCAGTAGGACGTCTTGAGATCGACTTCCAGCATGTAATTCCACAAGTATTCAATAAAGAAAATTGCATCTTGGGAATGCTAAAAGCAGTCTTAGGAGCAGTTCTAGAGCTATAGGCTCATGCATCGATTGAAGGGAGATATAAAAAATATAACGATATAACGATTTTTATAACGATATAACGATATAAAGATATAACGATATAACGATTTTTTATAATCGTTTTCATGACAGGTGATCTGGCGAGTGCATCAAACCTGACCAAATTTGCACCAATTTTCTTCATATCTTCATATTATATACCTTTTTATTTCTGTGTATTAATCGAAAATAAAGTCTCATAATTAATTGATCAAATCGTCACCGTATCCAGACCAAATGTCTTCCAATTGTGTACCAGTTACCTATCATGAAAACGGTTATTCGCAGACATTTGATTGTAGACATTTCATCTATGTAATTTTCGACCTAAAAGAGAGGTAAAGCCGTCTTGGTTTACGGGGCCTGCTAAGTCGTGAGGATGAGGACACGCACACGTCATTACTTTGAACGAATGTTGGTGCCCTTATTTCATGAGGTAAAAACAACTTTGACAACTTTCAGGATCTATGTTTCTTTTTGCACTGTTGTGGCATAAACATTACCTTTTCTTTCTTCTGTCATCACTCATCGCATTGAAATTACAAAAACATCTAAATTTCAACAACACATTGCTTACGACTTCGAAGTGTCGCCTCAACGCAGCGAGGGGAGGGAAGGGAGGGGTAGCAACGGCCGGCCGCCGTCGGTTCCGTCCGCACATCTGGTTGAGGGGCGTCTCGCTGTCGCCATTTGTCATCGTGAATGGGGCCGCGCCGACGCGTCAGACGGGACGAACGGGGGAAGCCGGTCCAGACTGCGCCGCGCGGTTGTGTGAGCAAGCCGTGGGCTAGGTACCGCTCCAGGTCAGACCATGGTTGGCACTGAAGAGTGCGGCGACACTACAGAGCTGTGAACGAAGACGGTGAACGGCGAGATGTGGTGACCGCTTGTCTGACCAGTGCCCAAAGTCGTGATCTACCTCTGGGGTCAGTGCGTGAGAAGCTGGACTCGGCACCAACGGAGGACGCAGCTCGACAAGGAAGCTATGCTGTGTTGGTAATGAACTAAAGCACTTAATTGTAACGAATCCATGACAGATATAAAATGACGATACTAACTCAAGTTTATTGTAAAAGACAAAGCTTTCGATACACACAATATCTTGATCACTGTCTAAGATATGCAGAATATGACGTAAAATGACTGAGGTCATCAACCTCCGTCTGAGATTGTCCTTAAATTGCCCGGACAATATAATGTCATCGGCCTAATGCTTCATCTGCTTCTGTTCTAGAGGGACGTCTGCCGGTTACGACCGGAAGCTTTCCGACGGGACTTTACAGAACCCACAACAGCAGTATGAACCCGGCGTGGAGTTAATGCGTCATTGCTCGCATGAGCAAACGAAGAGCGACTTCCAGGCGAAGTTGGTAAGCAGTTTATGGGGGTGGGGGTTAGCTTAGAGCTGTTGAACAACCTGTCCTTTACCCAAGTCTTAAGGCTGAGACACACTCTTTCTACAGCCAGAAAATCTCATGCGAGAGCCCATTAATTAAATACATGAAATCACGATCGCATCAGCCGCTTACAGGGATGTGCGAACGATTGACGCGATTGTTATAAATAACATGCAGTTGAATAGGCTCTCGCACTCCATTTTCTGTCTTCGGAAAGAGCCTGTTTCAGCAGCTCTACTAGACAGCTCTGCTTGTGAAAGGGACTTCATTGTCATCTTGATAAACTAGCAACCGATTTTAATTGTCACACGGCGTTCATTTATCCGTCAAGTGCTTTCGCGAGGAACTTCGTAAGGCGTAATATAAACGTAAAACATTTATTACCTAATGACTTTTCTTGGAATCATAAATGTTTAGAAGTACAAATTTAATTGTTGAATTTTCATTTCCTGTTTTAATTAACTATTCAAAGAATATCACATTCAATTTCTAAGCACTTTTCGTGGGGAAAAAAGTTATAAATAAGTGTAATTTCATAAAATGGCATTAAACATGTTTCAGCGTAAGCTGAAGTTTTCTATATAAGGACATTCCATGTAGTAGCAAGCTGAAAAACCTGATTGATATACCTACAAGTGCACATATTTTTGTTTTTGTCCACATCCGCAGAATTCCTGGAGATGCGCTGGGACATGGATCATAGCAAGGTGGCTCTCAGTGGCAGCTGACCGCTGAGATGTGTCTGAAACAGCCAGAAGGAAGAATCGAGTTGTGGATCCAGGGCACTACTGAATGGAAGGCGGGACCAGCTGTAGGGAGACTACAGCAAAGCCGTCGTTCTCAATCTGCTGAACAGACTTCTGCTGCAGAGGAAAAACTGGGGTTCGACGTGTTAGAACTGGGGTTAGACCGGTTACCAGTGCTCGTGTTCGTCACCTGTTGTTTGTCACTGCTGTGCTGCTGCTGTATGTCATGTTTGCCACCTGCTAAACGTTCACAATGTATTTTGAGTGAATGATAACTTTTTTAGTGTTTGTCTTGATTTGTAACGAGTATATGAAGTATGTTAACCTTTCATCAAATGAAGGACTCCACATAAAAATAGTATAGGCTGTGGTGGTACAGACACATACCATTCTTGGCCGACTGTTGTGCATTGATCTAGTCGTTGAAGCGTCCTGAAAGTCTGGAAATAAACAGGCATAGCCAAATGGATTGGTTCTAATTATTTTCCTGTGTGGTTTTATCGTTTCCCTATTGCGGGAAAACAAGTGGACAATTTTGTTTGTATGTAAACAAGTATGTGTATACAAGTATTTGTATGTTTACAGACAAAATAAATAGTCATTGTCAATTTTAATGGGACCCGATATGTTTCCCAGTGCGGTTTATTACTGGCTTCTCCGTACGGGGAAAAAAGGAGACAAGGCAGTGGGGCCATTGCCAAGTTGGGAAACGGCCGGGGTTCGCGCGGGGAAAAGGTCTGGGAACGTTAGGGGAAAATCACGGTTTCCCCGATCGGGGAAGGTCTCCAGTAAGCATAAACCCGTATAGCCGGGTGGGGGAATGTGCGGGGCTCGCACAGGATCTTCTTGGGGAAAATGTTCGATAGCCCCGTACGGGGAACCGACCTCAACAACGGGTTTTTACCATAGTCGGCGCGGGGTTAGCTTGGGGGACGTTTGGGGAACGCTTGGGCAGTTATACCGTTTCCCCGTACGAATCCCGCACAAAGTTCCCCGTACAAAGTGTCTCAAATCCCAAGCGAACGCTCCGTTTTCCCCAAGAGAACGGTTGGGGTTTCCCCGAGCCCGCCCCAAGCTCGCCATAAGCCCTCCCCGTACGGGGAAAGCTCCGATTTGCTGGCTGGGAGAATTGTCTTATTTATTATTACTAACTTGAATCAGAGAAATAGCCTCTAGCAGGGATACTCTTCTGTGACCTTGACCTTTGAGCAGTCTTGTATCGTAAGATGAACCACAAATAGGGAACTGATAAGCCTCAAAACATTTCAAAACATCTTGGAAGTTAGCACGCAAGATGAGCGAAAAAGTGCCAAGTTTGAGGTCAATTTTAAGCGTGACCTTGACCTTGACCTTTGATTTTGAGCACATTTTCGGAATCTTCAGATTCTCTTCTTTTGTTTGACTCCAAATTTTGCCGGTTTGGTGCAGCCTGCCGTCCTCTAGAAGGCTTACTTTGAGATCACTACACATGTGCCGGCTTTTGCCTTTGACCTTGACCTCTGACCTTGAAAATTGACCTGAGGTCAAAAATTTTAGGTGCTTTAGAATCGTCTCGTAAGGACCTTTCGTTTGGTATCGCTTATGTTTCCGTAGCTCCCTTATTTACGGAGTTAGACAGGGGGGGGCGAAAAACGCCCCTCCCCGGGCTGCGGTGGTTGGGATTACCCCCCGGGCCCGGCCGGGTTATCTGATGTGGCTACCCGCTATTATCAGCTGTTTTAGAGGAAAGCACTTATTTCAAAGTAAGAAGCCCACCAGCGTCAGCGAGCCAGTCAGCCCATGTTCAGTGAGTGGCAGGTGATTTATCGATGCTAAGGTAATTTATCAATCTGATACAGGCCTCCGGAATTTAGTAACACCTAATCATTTCTTCTCCCTCACTATCAGACTCTCTGCAGTCAGCAGTGGCCAGTACCAAGGAACTCGCCAATTGGGATCAAGGTGCAATTTTCTTGGTAACAAAATGTAGGGGAGAGCGGGGCCAGTTGAACCACTTTTTATATATTGACATGCACAGCGAGATCTAGTTGTCATATCGAAAAATGCACAATGCCATGAAAAAATATGCTCTTTTGGCTTTATTTTAAGATATGTAAAATTATGTTTCAAACATATTTTGCTGCCAAACGCATGCTTATAAAACAGCTCTACGCCCGTTTCAAATGACCCCGATGCGAGGGTCAATTGAACCAGCCCATGGGGTCAATTGCACCTATCCTTGACAATGGGATGTTTTCCTCTTTAAGGCCACTTTCTTAAGGAGATATTTTGTCCGGTTTACTTTTCCAAATGCTACATTCAATAGGTCGTTGGAAAGCTAAAAGTGCAAAGTTCCTCATAATAGGTGACATAAAGTACATAGACTATGGTAAAACGGGCGGATGAGAAAAATGAGAAATATCTCAGGTTATAGTGTGCTTTCAAGCAAAAGGCTGGAGAAAAGGGGGTCAAAAATTGAGCTCTATTAAACTACTATTTCAGTTTAAAAGCTCATTTCAAAGGTGGACTTTACAGCCCCTGAACAATAACCATTGCAAAGGTCACCGGGGTCCATTGAAACGACCTGTGGCCCTGTTTCAACTGACCCTCAGAGAAGCGTTTCAATTGACCCCATCCGCTCCCGCCATCTCGCACGCGCCGTAAAGCACATGCCAAACGAGCTGGATGGACGGCATCATGCTGAATGAAGGGCCAAATAAGATGTTATTCCGGAGCCAGGAGTTCTTCTTTCAGCAAACAAAGGTATATGAGATATCATAAAATATTCATCAGAACGATTTCTCCCAAACGCCCCTCAAAAACACAAAAACAAGTGTCAAATCAAAATTACCGTCCGTTTGCCGCCCAAACGCCGTTGACAAAGGAAGTGGTCGAGCGCGGATGCGCAGTGGTGTCGGCAACGCCATATGTTGCATACTGTTGAAAATAAAGCCATGTTTCATCTGACCCCGTGTTTCAACTGGCCCCGCTCTCCCCTACATAGCTATTTTGGCCGGAATCCGACCCAGTGACCCAGGCACACAGTCGACACATACCAGTGACGGAAGCACTAGACCCTCACCCTGGCTGATCGTGGAAGCACGTAGCGTCTAGTGTGTGAGCATAATGCACTAACAAGGCCTTCCAAGAGACAAGAGGTCACCAGAGACAAGATATGACGGCAAGGAGAATAGTGTCGCCGGCATCAAAGCCTTAACGGAGGCGACAAATGCAAATTGCGCCGGCGCCCAGGGCCGTGCTGCATCTCTGATGGAGCGTCTTTTGCGAAAACCTGCCATAACCGGCTGTGTGGTAAGTGGACCACCTTTCTCATATGAAAGGCAGACATACGGACCATGTGGAACAGTCAGGCATGACGACTGAAGATCACGAGTTGATGGAGAGCGCCGATCGTTGCACATTCTAACGCCGCCTGTCCAGTCCAGCCGGACCAGCGGCGGTTGTCAGGTCCTCTGTCTCTGAACTAGCCTCTCTGCACCCAGTGACACAGCGTACTCGGCTGGACGCTCGCATTATCCCGTCTATTGGACCCTCTTCAGTAGCGCGACTCGATAGCAGCGCTGGCCGACCAGCTCGGTTTCCGGCTCCGGCAGTGTATCGCGGCGGTTCCGATGCAAATTGTCAGCGCCAACTGGCCTTTTGTAGGCGGGGAACTGTCTCTGACGGAGTCGGGCCCGGTCCAGTCCGCCCCCCGAGCCGCCGCTGAGGGGCGGACGGCCCGCCGGCCGCGGCAGCCCGCCGTATATTTGTGTCTGCGAGTAGGGCCGGCCGGCAGCCGGAGCGGCTCGCTGGCCTGGCACGGCCTATTGGTCGCTCCGGAGGAGGCGGACACCCGGCAGCGGCCGACGGGCGAGGGTGGGAGAGGGAGAGGGAGAGGGAGAGGCCGGCACCGGCTGCCAACAGGAGGGAGTCTGTTCTGCCAGTTCGATGGAATAGAAACTCGGTGCGATGGGATCCAGGCTGGCAGTGATATATCGCACACGGTCCAAGTGGAAGGCTGGAATTCCGCGGCTGGTGGCGTTTGGAGGGACGACAGACGGAAGAGGAAGAGATACCTCGGGGCGGAGTGGGCTGAGTAGCTGCAGTCATTGTATTCATATGGCTCAATGGCAGAGTTTTCATTATCGATGGCTGTGATATAATTAGGTTCTGCATCCAAGTGCAAGACTGGTAAAGCGTCACAGCTAGGAAGTTGGATCGAGACGTCCCTCATGGTCAGTTATCGTGGCAGGTGCACCATCGACGGCTGAACTTTGTCTTATACAACACAGCTTGACTCTTTACAACTTTCTGAATTTTACGACTCATGAAATGGATGGTGCTGTGGTAATTATAATAAGTAATTAATCTTTCCCTGCGTAAAATTACTCAATTGGCAGAGCCAACTAATCATTTTTGCGACCTACGTTACGGACTCATGCATATTTCATACTGCATGTTCAAAACGCTCACGTTACCATTCTTATTTTTCTCTCCGTTTCAGGTGTGCATTTAGAGATTAGCCGGCCGGCTCGCCGGTGCAGCGTGTCCCGCAGTTAGAGTTCGGCCGACCTGCCTGTCCGGCCTGCAGGTGCTCCGGTAATGTACTGTGCACACCCTGTCCGTCAGTACCCGTGTCGGTTTTCGTGGCACGCGCCGCCACTCTATGTGTCGTTTATTGCCGGCGCCGCCTTTCGGTCCAGCGGGACGTCAAAACAAATTAAACAGAATCGGATTAAGCAGACTGGGTGGGCCCGGGGCCTGGGAAACGCCGCCGCGGGACCGAAGCTGCAACAGCGAGCCGGACGGAGAGAGAGAGAGAGAGAGAGAGAGAGAGAGAGAGAGAGAGAGGGGTAGAGAGGGCAGATAGAGAGAGGAGTTCCGCCCTGGTGAGGCGGAGTGTTAGACATGACCGCCCGACAGTCTGACATGACCCGTCGCATGTGCCGACCTCTACCCTTTGCCGGTCCAGGTCGGCCTTGGAGCCGGTGGTAGATGAAGTGCTGATGGGACTGACGGCTCGGTCCTGAGCAGTCCCGAGGCACATAACCCGAAATGTATGTACGCTCCATATGGATCACTCCATGGTATCACGAGTACGCTACAGTATCACGGAGTAATGAGCAGACGACCAGCGGAGATTCAACATTAGATGGATGCCGGTCCAACAGACCACTATGATGTTATGTCGCTGATAAGAATGGCAAAATAATCACTCGGGTCCAGAGTCCGGTGCATCAGTTAGCTTGTTGCTGATGAGCTTTGTGACGTGATGCAGTGGGCAATTACGAAGGCTCTGTAGACTGCTCTAGACACTGCCTAAACACTGCCTAGTAGGCAGTGTTTTCTTTGGATGCGCATAATCTCAGCGAGACATTCATGCTAATCTGTCCACCATTTCTTTCTACAGGCAGCTCGCAGACAGTCCATTACATACTGTTGAATGGCTGTGTAATGTGTATGGACAACGCTCCGAAAATAGACCAACTGTGCCTTCCCGAGACTTGTCAAATAAACATTGATTAAATCTAGTGAGCCCACAGCTCTGACGCAAACCGCATTTCTACCGGCTTAAAACCGACCCACTGTTCTATGCAGATTAGTAATTATTTGGCTAATGATGATTTCAATGGGACGAGTAGCTCGTAAAGGGAATTTAAATGGAAATTCAGAGAATGGAACATCTGAGTGGCCACCACAAATTAATGAATTCTAGTAAGCCGTATGATTGTCTATCTATTGCCCTTGGCAACGGCCCTCTACTAAAAATTGGAATTGACTGTAAGTGAAATGCGAATAATGTACCGCATTTACAGTTTTGAGCTGACTTACAGGTTGTATGTGTGCTGTTATTGAATAACCTGGGGATGCAATAGTTCCGTTGTAGTTATTCCTGATTCGGTTGCCATCCGCTAAGACGGCACCAAGATCGATCTTCTCGAACTTCTCAATCCCGAATGAAACATCAGAGTCCATTTCAAATTGATTAGGTGCCTCCTATCACTGCAGCTTCGTTCAGGTGACGGCGCAATGCAGTATAAAATATTAATTTATGACCGCACTTCA